ATGATGTCATTAGGTCAGATTGAGTTAGACCTATGGGACTGCGCCATCTAGAGTTTCATGCCAGAACTCTGTATTTCATGCCACTCTTGCCTGACCAATTCAATTCAGTTACACTTTATTGTTGGAATTTCGTCCCAAATCTGTCTTGCATCTCAAAGCGTGTCTCACATCAATTCACATCAATACACTTACACCAATTTAAACAAACAAACAAAAGGCAGGCCATTTGGAAACCCGTTTGAAAACAGTCATTTTGCAGTTACATTTTTAGCTGTTTGCGGTGCAGAAATTTCCATTTATACATCCATTTCATCCGCTTTAAAGGGAATATCCCAGGTTTGATACAACTTAAGCTTTTATTTTTACTGCATCTGTGACATGATGTCAGTTACCATAGACAGTAATTTTAACAAATTTTAGGCACTCATAATGGAAAAATTATTGTCAGCATCACAACACGCACTGCTTTTAAAGTATGTAAACTTGACATTGACATGAGACTAATGTGATAAAATCACTAGAAACACTCAGATTTCATTTGTTAACATTAGTTAACTACATTAGGTAACACGAACTAACAATGAAACATTCTTCTAAAGCATTTATTAGTCTTGGCTAATGTTAATTTGTAATATTTAGTAGTACGCTATTCAAAACAAAAGTTGAATCTGTTCATATTATTTAATGCCACTGAGCTAACATAAACGAACAATGCACAAATGTATTTTTGTTGACTTACATTAACAAAGATATTGTAACAATGTATCTCATTGTTATTTGATATTAGTTAATGCATTAACTGGCGTTAAACAATGGGACCTTACTGTGAAGTGTTACCAAATCACTAACAATATCCAAAATGTCATGATGCATTGAAAGTGTGAAAGAAAATTATTTTACTTGGAGAAAAATCTGATCATCTAACAAATGTTTTGTTCAGATCTGAATAAAACCAGAATATCAAAATGGATCAAAAAGACACATTTAGACACTGTTATAGCTCAAATAAAACACTTCTTGTTCAGGAAGAATTAATTAAATGTGTTAACAAAAATCAGAGCAACTTCTATTTTAATTCCTTTTAAAAATTGAGGAAAATACATCAAAATTGTTTGATTTGGTAATGCTTTGATTTGGATAAGGACATTTATTCTGCTTTAACTCTGCTTTTAAAACTTTTCCATTTGTTTATTTGTGTTTTAAAGGCATTACTCAAACTTTTTTATTTTATTTGTATTCTTGTTGTGTTTTATTATTATTATTTTTCTTTAAATTCAGGAATACATCCAAATTGTTGTCTTTGGTAATAGACATCATGCTACAGAACTAAACCGAGCCTGGTATTTTAAATTTTTTTTATTAGAATATTATTATGAATTAATGTAATTGATTTTATTTATTTCATATAACTTTTATTTGACAATTTATTAAGCCTGTGTTCAGCATCATTTTACGATTGTACATTTGAAAGGCATTCAGCAGAAGCACTTCTAAATCAGTGCTTCACGTGAATATTTGAAGAGTTTGGTTCCAAAACGCGATAAACTCCATTTTTTTTTTTAAAAATTGAGTTTCCGCCAAAATCAGTATTGTATCTGGTCGGTGTTGAAAAGTACATTTTAAATTTTACGCAAAATGCGATATCCGCCGAGTTATTCTGTCATGTTTTCTCCCTTTTTTTTACAAACTGTGACAAACGCCAGTCTCACTTTTCTGCAGAATGCGATATATCTGCTCAACCAATCACAGCGCACCATCGAGACTCGAACCCGCAACCTTTGGGTTACGAGTCCGACTCTCTAACCATTAGGCCACGACTTCCCCCTTATACACCCGCATCCTTATACACCCGGTCAACAAACAAACTTAGGGGTGCACGATAAATCGCATATGATTGTCATGCGCATCTCGTCAGTAAAGCTGGTTCTGTGATTAATAGTAAATCTCCATCACGTGCTTTCAGATGGAGCGCATTTAATACACAGAGCCGTAGATCACTGCAATATCGCGTTCATAATGCAGATTCATAAAACAAGATGACCCGTTGAATTCATTTTGGGAGTGATGACTGATTGAATGTATTTTTGGTCCAGTGCCTGTATATAAGATTAGTATTGACCAAGTTCAGAGGCTGTCATATGTGGATCAACTTACTATGTTGTGTATTTTCAACAGTTTCAATATGAAAAATAACTTTTATATTGATTCAATGGATTTATTGCATTTAAAAAAAAAATTTAAAAAAAACGTGTCATGGATTTATTGCATTTGGGGGGAAAAAAATAAAATTTTATAATAAATCTTAGAAAATCAAAATCTGGATTTGAATTTTTAATGTTATTATAACCTAAAGATGCTATGTGAAAGTTTGAAACAGAAAATAGTGGTTTTTATCTAGCCACTTTCTTTGTAAAGAAAACACATTTTTCTCAAATTAATCAAAATGGATTTATAGCGTTTTGGGACCAAACTCTTCATTTACCCATTATATTAAGCAAAATAATCACCAAACAGACTGACAACAGTTTAATACACTGACTGTGTGCCTGTCACATGCTGAACATCTTTAATAAATGATATTAAGCATGTAAATATGTCAGTGAGAATGTTAACTGGTTGTTTATAGTGAAATCTCAATACTTGACTTCCTCAAATTAATAAGCAGCCCAGAGTGAAGCATAAACTGTGTGAACCCAGAGAGAGCCCAGGGATGTTTTTCACTCAGATGGGAATATTGTCAGGCGTCTGTCAGCTCTGTGACGAGCAGCGTTTCTCCTCAGGCAGGAGAAGTGAGCCTCCTGACAGCCCCAGACAAGCCTGTCTCCTCATTCTGAGGCTGAGATGTTAAGATTGTGTTTTAAGATGAAAACTATACCAGCCAAATTTGTTAATGATCTCAGATAGCCTCAAGCCTCAGACTTCAGTGTGTTTGTGGGTGAAATGGAAGAACGTGAGCAGTTTTAGGAAATTGTGAGCTAAATCTAAGGCTGTTTTGAGACAGTGTGACCAGAGTGAAATTATAGTCAGACCCTTAAAGGATTCACCGTTTGGTGTGTTTTATATGGAACCTACTTAGAAATCCTAAAATATTGCAGCAGAATCAGTCCATCATCGTCATTTATTTTTATAGCTATACTAGCTGTGTTTCCATCAACATATTTTTTATACAAATATTGGGACGTTGCACATGTGCATAAAATCTTAAAATGTGCATTACAAATTATATTTTTTATCCTGTCTCACCAGAGTGGTTTTTGGAAACGGTACTTTATTAGCGGACGTTTTATGATTTTTATTTATTTATTTTAGTACCGTCAAACGATTAATCGCATCCAAAATAAGAGTTTTTGTTTGCATAATATATGTGTGTGTGCTGTGTTTATTTATTATGTATATATAAATACACACACATGCATGTATACATTTCAGAGAAATATGTTATTTTTATATATTAAATGTATTTATGTAATGTATTTATGTATAATATAAATTATATGAATATAAATATAGACATGTAAATACATGTAAATATTTTCTAAATGTATACATGCATGTGTGTGTATTTATATATACATAATAAATAAACACAGCACACACATATATTATGCAAACAAAAACTCTTATTTTGGATGCGAGTAATCGCGATTAATCGTTTGACAGCACTAATTAACTTATTTATTTTTTAAATTCACAACTTTTTAATGCAATATTGCAATTTTTCATACAAGTGAAATTCTCGTCTTTGCTTTATGCAGTATTTTTTCCACAAGGTAAATCTTGCAACTCTGTTTTATGTGATATTACAATATTTCACAGAAGTTAAATTTGCAACTTTGGATGGCTACTACTGTCTTGTCCTAACCTCACAATACTCTAAAGTTGAAGACAGTATATTGCAAATAACAATATTTTACAGATACATTTCTCGGTCTTGTCTTTTCCGTTAGCCTACACATAAACATTTTCAGTGGCATTTGTGCTTTTGTTGTTTATATCCTTTTATTTTCATAAATAAAGCGATGCAAACCTTTAGATTGTGTGTATAGTTTAATAGTAGTATTTTAGCTTGCTCTGATGCTCTGATGTTGGTCTGCAGAGCTGTTCACCACGGAGGCGTCTCACCTGCGCACGCTGCGGGTTCTGGATCAGGTGTTTTATCAGAAGATGCAGAGCGTCCTCAGTCCAGAAGAGCTGGCCTGCATCTTCCTGAACCTGCGTCACGTCTACGAGCTACACGGTCAGAAGTCACGCATTTCTACCTCTGCTTTGGCAGTATATGAGCAGCTCTACTCCTGTAAGATGTATAGTAATAATAAGACGTGACTTGGAGACTTGGTTTGTGTAACAAGCTGTTTCGCTATAAGGCAGAATATGAACGTTGGATGCAATCTGTTTAAAAGTGTGCATAATGCACACCTAATGCATAAATGTGTTGCATAAGTACTCGTGTTGTTTTTCTATCCCAGCGAGCCTATGTGAGGCCATGAAGAAGCGCAGGGAATCGCCAATCGTTCAGGGCATCGGAGACATCATGCTGGCCAGAGTGAGTGTCTCGCTCCTGTCCTGTCTTTCACTTTTTAAGCTAAAAGAATAGTTCAATCAAATATAAATGCTGGAAATTTGCTCACTCTCAGACCATCCAAGATGTAGATGAGTTTGTTTCTTCATCAGATTTGGAGAAATGCAGCATTGCATGACTTGCTCACCAATGGATGTGAATGGGTGCCGTCAGAATGAGAGTCCAAACAGCTGATAAAAACATCATAATAACCCACACCACTCCAGTCCATCAGTTAATGACTTATGAAGTGAAAAGCTGTGTGTTTGTAAGAAACAGCTCCATAAATAAGTCACTTAAACTTCAAACCGTTGATTCCAGCTAAAACACGAGTCCATAATCCATAATACACTTCCTCCAGTGAAAAAAAGTAATCTTGTCTGAATCAGGAGAGAAATCTGCACTGTTTACAAGCGAAAACAGCTCTAAACCAATATGTGTGTGGATTTTGATCGAAGAGGACAACACTGGATGGACTTTTTCACTGGAGGAAACGTTATTATAGATTATGGACTCATATTTTAGCCGGAAGCAACAGTTTGACATTAAAAATGTTGTAATGATGGATTTATTTCTTACAAACACACAGCTTTTGTCTTCACAAGGCATTAACTGATGGACTGGTGTGGTGTAGATTACTTGTGGATTACTGTGATGTTTTTATCAGCTGTTTGGACTCTCATTCTGACGGCACCCATTCACATCCATTGGTGAGCAAGTCATGCAATGCTACATTTCTCCAAATCTGATGAAGAAACAAACTCATCTACATCTTGGATGACCTGAGGGGGAGGAAAGTGTCAGCAAATTTTTATTTTTGGGCGAACTGTTCCTTTAAAATGAATGTGCTGTAGTTGGAGGGAGAGGCTGGAGATCAGTTCGAGGAGCAGGTGTCTCATCTGTGCAGTCAGCAGAGTCAAGCGCTGGAGCTCATCAAGAGCAAACAGCGCAAAGACCCTCGCTTCGCTCACCTCATACAGGTAAGGCATGCATCAGTGCTTTCCCAGATCATCCACGGATCGTACGGGTGTGTGTTGACGCGGTGTGCTGTCTGTCAGGAGTGTGAGGCCAGTCCTCACTGCTGCAGGTTACAGCTGAAGGATCTGCTGCTGGCTGAGATGCAGCGCTTGACTAAATACCCTCTGCTGCTGGACAACATCATCAAACACACAGAGAGTGAGTGAACGCACACTAATCATCATAACGAGACGCTGCGTTCAGGATTTGCACTGGTTGATCATATATGTGACCCTGGACCACAAAAACAGTCATAAGGGTCCGTTTTTCGAAATTGAGATTTATACATCATCAGAAAGCTGAATAAATAAGCTTTGTTAGGATAGAGCAATATTTGGCCGAGATACAACTATTTGAAAATCTGGAATCTGAGGGTGCAAAAAAATCAAAATATTGAGGAAATCATCTTTAAAGTTGTCCAAATTAAGTTCTTAGCAATGCATATTACTAATCAAAAATTAAGTTTTGATATATTTACAGTAGGAAATTTACTAAATATCTTCATGGAACATGATCTTTACTTAATATCCTAATGATTTTTGGCATAAAAGAAAAATGGATAATTTTCACCCATTCAATATTGTTGGCTATTGCTACAAATATACCTCAGCGACTTAAGACTGCTTTTGTGCTCCAGGGACACATATGTGCAAAACTAAAAATCTTAATTTTTATGATCTATTAAAACTCGTAACCTATTGCATTTTGTAAATTTTGCCGATTTAAATAAATCTCCAAGTAAAGGTGAAGTTATAAGTTATCAGTAAAGGATGACTGTGATGATGATAATCGGTTATAATTGGTGCTATTATAAACAATGTAATTATTTTTAATAATGTGATTATTTTTACATGACTATTCATTATAACCAATACCAAACATTAGGGATCATTAAGATATATAATATTTTGTATTTTTAAATATTTCAATTTCAAGCAAATGCTGTTCTTGTGAACTTTCTATTTATCAATAAATCCTGAAAAATAAAATGTATCACAGTTTCCACAAAAATATGAAGCAGCACAACTGTTTATAATCAGAAATGTTTCTTGAGCTGCAAATCAGCATATTAGAATGATTTCTGAAGATCATGTGACACTGAAGACTGGAGTAATGATGCTGAAAATTCAGCTTTTTCACAGATTTTAACATACTGTATATCCACATATATATGAGAACAGTTCTGTTAAACTGTAATGATATTTGTGTGCAGCGGCGTCTCCTGACCTGCAGCTGCTTCAGAGAGCACAGGCCCGTTGCCACGGGATACTGCAGGCTGTTAATGAGGTCGTCAGGGAGACGGAGCACCGGCATCGGCTCGGCCAATACCAGCACAGGCTGGACCTGACGCCTCTGGAGCGGCTGGCCAATCCCGTCGCAGCGCAGTTCAAGGTGCGAGCCGTCCCGTACGCCTCGTTAGTGCCGCTAGCATCGCTCTTCATGCTGTCTGCTTCCTCTCTCACAGAACCTGGATCTCACCACTAAGAGGATGATCCACGAGGCGCCGCTCACCTGGAAAGTCAGCAAAGACAAAGCCATCGGTAAAGAGGTTTAATGCAGATGGGCAAATCAGAACAGAATCAAAATTAAACTAACTAAATATGACCATAGTAACCATAGTGTCTGCTAAAATACATCACTTAATATTGGTACTTTTGCTGCAGTAAAATGTGGTAATGCACATTTTTGTAAAGGCATTTTCTTTCCTGTGTTGACTTCAAATGTACAGTTTATTTATAAAAAGATATTATTCAGGGCTGCAGTGTTGCGATAGTAATATATTTATTTATTGATTTGCTTACTTTTTAATATTTAAATAAGAGTTAAAATAAAAAAAAATATTTGTTAGGGTTAGTTATTTTTTGTTTCTATTGCCCTTTGCAGGTCACATGCCTGATTATTATATTCTTATATGAAATATATTGTATTATATTAAAATAGCTTATTTTGCACACTAGCACCAATGTTACTTCAGTATAATTGAGATACTAATATATTTTTTACATTTGTATTTTGATTTATATAAAATAATAATAATTATAGATAGATATTATTATTAAAATCTGTTATTTTTTATTAATATATAATAATTAATAATATCACAATTCATTTTTATTAGTGCTGTCAAACGATTAATCGCACCCAAAATAAGAGTTTTTGTTTACATAATATATATGTGTGTGTGTGTTTACTGTGGATATTTATTATGTATATATAAATACACACACATGCATGTATATTTAAGAAAAAAAAATTACGTTTATATATTAAATATATTTATATATAATATAAATTATATGAATATAAATATATACATGTAAATAGTAGAGCCCGACCGATATGTTTTTTTTGGGGGCCGATACCGATATTAGGGAGTAAAAAAAAAAAAAGGCCCTAGATATCGATATATCGGCCGATATTCTTTGTGTATATTATAGTACAGTACCAGTCAACAGTTTGGACACAACTTTAATTCAATTAAATTCCATTCAACTTTATTCCGTTAAAGTTTATTTCACTTCGGAACTCTCATTCACGGATTTGCGCTACTGTCTTCACACACAGACGAAACTTACTAGAGAAGTGTGAAGTGGGACATCATTTACCTCTGTAAATATATACAATATAAATTCACGTCTCGCGCACTTTATTGCCATTTGAATGTAATGTGTACGTTCCCTTGGAACTGGAATCATGGCGGAATATCATGTGAAGTCCACTTCGCAGGGCACTTACGGTCGAATAAGACAACGCTTGAATGCTGCTGCCTGAACAAGAGACCTCCTTACTGAAGTGAAAGTGTTGACTGGTGTTACTATCTCGCGAACGCGCCGGCGGATCTCCACCAAATTTGTCAACTCTACCGATGTGCGGAGGGTGGCGTTCGAGAGGGTTCCTCGAGCTGAAGGGATCCCCCGAATTTGGTGCGGATTCACCTCGCCGTTATGGAGATATAGCCGTTCAAAGTTTCAGTGGTTTTCCATAGACTAAGCTTTAAAGCGTTTCATCCAGATCGCCAGTAGCAAACAATGGAGCGCGCTCTGCTGGACAAACTAAGTAATTACACCATTTCAAGCATTTAATCTGCGTTATATGTTCTGTAAAAAAAATTTTCATATCGGTGGCATATTCGGCCGATAATATCGGCAAAACGATATATCGGTCGGGCTCTAGTAAATAGTTTCAAAATATGTACTGTATGTGTGTGTATTTATGTATACATAATAAATATACACAGTACACAGATATGTTTATTTTGGATGCCATTAATCGTTTGACAGCACTAGTTTTTATTAATAAAATATCTGTTTTAGATTGTTATTTTAATGCATGACGTTAAACTAAATTAAATTAAATGAGAAAGGTTGCCTTGAAATGACTGAAATCAAATACGTATAATTTGTTTTGTGTTATATTTTATTACTTTTATTTATTTATTTATTGTTTTAGTTCATGTTTTCGTATGGTTCTAGTTAACTGTGATAACCCTGACTAGCACATAGATGAGCTGTGAGTCTGTGATCGTGTTGTGGTCACTGGTTCGTGTGAATGTCTCAGAGGTGCAGGCGCTGCTGCTCTCAGATCTGCTGGTGCTTCTGCAGAGGGGTGCAGACGAGCGGCTCGTCCTGCGCTTTGTTCATTTACAAATCGATTACACACATTAAGATCAATCGCTTACGTCGAGAATTTCTTGTGGCGTCTCGAGGAAATATCGGTGTTTAACTGTCAACACTGCCCCCTAGTGGTCGGGAGCATTTCCGTTGTGTTGTGGCTTAATGTCGTTGTGTTGTGAGCTTAATGTCGTTGTGTTGTGAGCTTAATGTCGTTGTGTTGTGAGCTTAATGTCGTTGTGTTGTGAGCTTAATGTCGTTGTGTTGTGAGCTTAATGTCGTTGTGTTGTGAGCTTAATGTCGTTGTGTTGTGGCTTAATGTCGTTGTGTTGTGAGCTTAATGTCGTTGCGTTGTGGCTTAATGTCGTGGTGTTGTGAGCTTAATGTCCTTGTGTTGTGAGCTTAATGTCGTTGTGTTGTGAGCTTATGTTTCCTTTTTTAATTGCGTTGTGTTGTGCACTACTGGGTCACCGTACTCTGGGCTTCTATTTTGACATTTTAAAAAATCGTAGCTTCATCAGTATGAGATGACACTTAGTGACTTTTGTTGCATGTTGCAGGAAATGAATGGGAAATACTAAAAAATACAACTCGGAGAATCTTTTGGTGGTACAAACTACAAATCAGCCACTGTGCAGAAAAAAGTGCACAGCAATCAAGGGGTGACACTCTAAAATATAGAGTGTACAAATATACACACGCACACAAACACAATGTTTGATTGTAATCATAATGCAAAACCTGATATTTATCTAACCAAAAATATCTAAACCTTGACATAAAGTAGTCTTTTAGAATGTCTAAAAATATATCTAAAAGCAAAACCTAATAAAATGAAGTAAGTATGTCTAAAAACACAATGGGAATCCATTTATGGAAAAATAATAATTAAATAAAAATATATTAATTCTTGTGGGGAAAATAGCTAATTAAAACTGTATAAATATTGCATAATATCTTAAAATCCCCTCAAAATTCTAAATAATAATCAAAAATATTATTGAACAAAAATGTATTAAATTGATTTTCCTGAAAAAAAGAAGTTACATTTTAAGGCTTCGGTCACTTTTGACGCGAAGGAGCCAAGTGTGACTCCCAAACGAAGAGGACCAGAGGGTTAAATAAAAAGGCTGGTTGGACGAGATTCGGAGTTGCTTTCAAATATTAAATGAACTTATGTTCGTCTTGCAGACAATAAAGCGCTGTATGTGATCAGCACTTCAGAGAGTCAGATCTATGAGCTGGTGGCCGGGACATCCTCGGAGAAGAACACGTGAGTCTGTGCTCAATCCTCATTGGCTGCATGCATTTGAAAGTCTAGTAGCTCCCTTTCAATCGAAGTTTCCTCACAGTTGGAAAGACCTGCTGGAAAAGACAATCGCCGCAGTCACTCAAGGAACGGGATCGAGCAAGTGTGGATCACCAGCGCCGTACGTCACACCATCAGCTCATAAACACTGAAAACTACAGCCATATGCTCACTGCATCTGATGAAGTCATGTCTGCTCTGTTTCAGGTCGTCTGATGCACGCTCATCTGCCAATGCATTAGGTAAGAGATGAGGATTTTATAACAGCCAACACCAAAAACTGGAGATTCATTCAATATAATGGCGGTATATACACTACTGTTGGGCAGCACGACTGTTTTCAGCATTGATAATAATCAGAAATATGTCTTGAGCAGCAAAGCAGCATATTAGAATGATTTCTGAAAATCATGTGACACTGAAGACTGGAGTAATGATGCTGAAAATTCAGCTGCGCATCACAGGAATACATTACATTTGACTATATATTACAATACAAGACAGTTATTTGAAATTGTAATAATATTTTACTGATTTAGCTGCACGTTTATTCAGATGAATGCAGCCTTGGTGAAGACCCAACCCCAAACTTTTGAATGAAGTGCAATTTAATGACAGCAAATGAAATGTAGGCAAAATTGCTGAAATGAATGAAGCAATAAGCCCCAAGAAGCCGTGGTTTACAGTGAATTTATAACAGCTAAGGGGCATTGTTAGGTACGACGCGAAGCAAAAAAAGGGGAAAAACCCCTTAGCTGTTATAAATTTACTGTAAACCACGGCTTCATGGGGATTATTGCTTTTATAAAACGGTTATTCCATATACGTAGTAAGGTTTAACAAAATAAAACAGAGCAAATAAAGTGTAATGATATTAATAAAAACAGTATTCTTCCACCAAACAATGTAGTTCCTCAGAATCAGTTGTGGTTCCAACAAAGTGGTTGCCGAGCAACACACAGACGTAAACAAAGGTGTGTGTTTGTAGAGTAATTTACAACAGCTTCGAACGCGGCTCAGCCAATCAGAATCAAGGACCGGAACTCTCCGTTTTATAACAGTTATTTTACACAGTATGGGGAATGTTATTATACATTAACAAGACTGTAGGTTTAATTTATGTTCCATTGTCAGCGCACATTATTTGCAACTTGCAAAACTAAGATTGAAAGTTTCCCATTAAATCTATATCTCGGATATGTGTCACATTATTGAAGGAAAATGCATCATTGATTCCTAAAAATAGCGTGACATCTTGCTGTCTCTGTTAGATGTGTCGGAGTCGTCCGTGTCTCTGGAGCGGGACTCTAGTGAAGATGAATGCACTCTCACACCGAGCGACGGATCAGACGCGCCCCGGCGCCAGAATAAAGCCGCTGTCGCAGAAGCTGCTCTTCAGGACGGTGAGCCTTTCCTTGTGTTCGCTTGCCATAGCATTAACACACCAACCCACCAAACAACCGCTTGAACCAGTTATCGCTAACTAAAATGAACTGAAATAATAAAAGGCCTTTTTTGCATCCTGAAAAAAATCTTAAAAAAATAAATCTTAAAAAAAAAAACATTTAAATATTAAATGGAAAAATAGAACTTAAACTTATTTTAAGCTAGTTACCCAGGCAGGTTACCTAAAACTACTAGAACTGGAAAAAAATAATATATATAATTTTAAATATAAAGATCTATATATCTATCTATGCAAAAGCTAATAAAAAATTGAAGTAGCACATAAAAAATAACACAAACAAAAATTTAAATTGCATCCTGAAAAAAATCGTAAAATGTAAAAAAAAGTTATGTAAAAAAAAAAACGTAAAGAACTTAAACTTATTTTAAGCTAGTTACCCAGGCAGCATTTCAAATTTTCTTTTAGGTTGAAGT